CCATGCGGGCGCTGCCACTGGGGCCTTAGGTGGAGCCCCTTTGGGGCTACAAAACATGTGAGGGGTGGTGCGACGCCCGCAGGCGAACCCATGCCACTGGGGCCTTGGGTGGAGCTCCCCATGGGACCACAACACAACTGTGAGGGGTGTGCCTAAACGAGGGTGACGCCCACGTGCGTGCTGCGCCACTGGGGCCTTCGGTGCTCAGATTGTTGCGACGCCACAGAACGCGTGAGGCGTGTGCTCAGATTGTTGCGACGCCCGCATGCAAACCCTTGCCACTGGGGCCTTGGGTGCAGCTCCCTAAGGGACCACAATACGTGAGAGGGGTGTGCCGAAGCTGGGGGTGACGCCCACATGCGGGCTATGCGACTGGGTATTTATGTGGAGTTCCCTCTGGGGCCACGAACCGAGTGAGGGGTGTGCCGAAACAGGAGTGACGCCCGCATGCGGGCTACGCCACTTGGGCCTTAGGTGGAGCCCCCATATGGGGCTACAAAAACGTGTGAGGAGTGTACCGAAACAGGGGTGACGTACACATGCGGGCTGCGCCGATGGGAAACTAGGCAGAGCTCCCTGTGGGGCTACGAAACGTGTCAGGAATGTGCCGAAACGGGGATGACGCCCACATGCGGGCTGCGCCAGTAGGATCTCCGGTGGAGCTCCCTGTGGGGCCACGAAAACGTGTGAGAGGTATGCCGAAACGGAGGTGGCGCCCACATGCGGGCTGCGCCAATGGGAAACTAGGCGGAGCTCCCTGTGGGGCCACGAAACGTGTGAGGATGTGCCGAAACGGGAATGACGCCCACATGCGGGCTGCGCCAGTAGGATCTTCGGTGGAATTCCCTGTGGGGCCACGAACCGTGTGAGGGGTGTGCCGAAGCCGGGGTGACGTCCACATGCGGGCTGCCCCACTGTGGCCTTCGGGGAAGCTTCCTATGGGGCCACAACACGTGTGAGGGTTGACCCGAGATGGGGGTGACGCCCACACGCGGGCTGGGCCGATGGGGCCGTAGGTGGAGCTCCCTGTGGGGCCACGAAAAGTATCAGGGGTGTGCCGAAACGAGCGTGACGCCAACATGCGGGCTGCGCTGGTGGAACCTGAGGTGAGGTTCCTACGGGGCCACAAGCGTGAGGAGTGTGCCGAAACGGGGGTGGCGCCCACATGCCTGCTGCGCCAATGGGAAACTAGGCGGAGCTCCCTGTGGGGCCACGAAACGTGTGAGGGATGCGCCGAAACGGTGGTGATGCGGGCTGCGCCAATAAGACCTTCGGTGGAGCTCCCTGTGGGGTCACGAACCGTGTGATGGGTGTGCCGAAGCCGGGGTGACGCCCACATGCATGCTGCGCCACTGGGGCCTCAAGGTGGATCCTGATTTGTGGGGCCACGAAACGTGTGAGGATGTGCCGAAACAGGGGTGACGCCCACATGCGGACTGTGCTCCCTGTGGGGCCACGAAAACGTGAGAGGGGTGTGCCAGAAAGAGGATGACGCCCACATGCAGGCTGCGCCACTAGGCCGCTGTGGCCTTAGGTGGAGCTCCCTATGGGGCCGCGAAACGTGTGAGAGGTGTGCCCAAGCTGAAGGCGGTGCTGATGATGATGCTGATGATGCTGATGATGATGATGATGACGACGGCGATGATGATGATGATGATGATGATGATGATGATGATGATGATGATGATGATGATGATGATGATGATGATGATGAAGATGATAGTGCTAATGACGATGACGACGACGACGACGACGACGACGATGGTGATGACGATGGCTACGGTGATTGCTGGTGATGATGACGGTGATGGTGATGATGATGAAGATAGTGATGGTGATGATGATGATTATGATGATGATGACGATGATGATGATGCTGATGATGATGATGATGATGATGATGGTGAGTGTGATGATGACGGTGATGATGATGGTGGTGATGGTGCTGGTGATGATGCTGATGATTATGATGATGACGATAATGGTCATGATCATGATGCTGATTATGGTGGCGGTGGTGATGATAATGATGATGGTGGTGATGATGATGATGATTATTGTGCTGATGATGATAATGATAATGATGATGATGATGATGATGATGATGATGATGGTGATGGTGATGTCGATGGTGATGACGATGGTGATGGTGATGGTGACGACGGTGATGGCGGTGATGATGATGATGATGATGACGATGATGGTGATGACGATGGTGATGCTGCGATGATGATGGGGATGATGATGGTGATGGTAGTGAAGGTAGTGGTTGTGGTGATGATAATGATGATGATAATGATGATGATGATGGCAATGTTGCTGATGATGATGACGACGATGATGAAGACGATGATGATGTTGGTGATGATGATGATGCTGATGCTGATGCTGATGCTGATGCTGATGCTGCTGCTAATGCTGATGATGATGATCATCATCACCATCATCATCATCATCATCATCATCATCATCATCATCATGGTAGGCGGGAGGAGGGGTGGCGAGGAGGAAGGTGAGGACGCGGGGCGCTGTCTCTTCAAAACGAAGACCCAGCACCACAGGATGGTTGGGAACTATCTCTTCGGACCCTCTCATCCTCATCCTTCATTCCCCCGCTGCTCCCCATGTCCTAGTATCCCCTCCCTCCCCCGTGCGCGGCGGGGAGCAGAAGCCCCTCACCCCTCCCTTTCTGGGCGTGGTGGGGCTACTGGGCCCCTATCGGCTACGTGTACCGCCGATTCCAGCTCAATGATTGAGGCTCAATGCTCCCCCCCTCCATGAGCCTGCCCCTCCCCTAGCCAGAGAAGCAAAAAACTGCACGAACACACAATGTCTTCGAGGTCCGCGCGGATTTCTTCTTGCCGTCGCTCGGACGTCCATTTCCTGTGTAATTTTCGGTTTCGCGCGTGTTTTTTTTGCTCGATGGTCCAGGATGGTCCTCGATGGTTCTCGCCGAGAAAAAAATGCACACGTCCGAGCGATGCCAAGTCTTGGATCGGCGCTGACCCCCCGCCCCTGGCGCGCAGACGCGCCAGGGGCGGCGCCGAAGGCGCCGCCAGGGGCAGGAAATCGGCGCGGAGCTCCGAAAGTTCATACTTGTTCAATGTTTGTGATTTCTTCACATTCGAGCTCAATGCTTCCCCCCGGAGACTGTCCCCGCAGAAGGTTGCCCCTGAAAATCCAGGATCTCCGAGGTCGGGCGGATCTGAAAAATGTATCGGGCGCTGCGGCCGTTCAAGAAGCGCTCCGGAACGCTCTCAGAATGCGTGCAGAGAGCACTCTGGAGCGTCTAGTCCCGGTTCTGGCCCCGCCCGACTCGGGCCCCCATCTGGGGCCGAGATCTGGCCGCGACCTGCGCGTTCCCACGAAGTTGAGGGACAACGATAAATGGGGGACCAGCTCAGGAGAGGAAACATCGAGCTGGAATCGACGATACATCGCTGATAGATCGGCGATAGGCCCCCGATAGCGAATCCGCGCGTTCCTGGGTGGGATGGGCTATCAGGCCCCTATCGCCGATGAATAGGAGATTGGGGGTTGCTGCATCCCCCCCTGGGCCTATCCCCCCTCATCGTTGCGTCTGGGAAGTGCCAGCCACGGCATCCCCTATTCTAGGAAGCGACCCATACCCGATTGAGGTGCCACTACGCCAGATCAGCCCGGATTAAGCGCAAGATCAAGCCAAATGAAGCCGATTCAAACGGGATTAGGCGGAAGTCAGCGGGATCATTCCGGACTACGTAGGCCTGTTTCCGACAACGGGTATACCAGTGCCGCTGCTGAATCTACACCTCCCAAAGTTTCCTCCAGGAGTTGCACCCTAAGAAATGTGAGGAAATACCGACCAGCATGTCGGTCAGCGTGGGAGTTTTGGTCTGTGGCGTTCTCCCTCGGGCGATCGCGGCTTTCCGACGGCGCAGACAGCTAGATATCGGCCAGTTCCATGCCGCTGGCGGCGCTCACTTGAACGTCTGTGCCAGGGTAACCGTCGCGTCGACGCGGCGGGAAACTATACTGCACGATAGCCCCTCATCAGGCTCACCGTGTGCACGCGAGGAGGAGGTAAATCGTCGATGTGCCATTACGGAAGCCGTCGTCGATGGCGAATTCATCAGAATCACCACAACCGATACCGTCATCAAAATCGTCGTCGTCGTCGTCATTGTCATCATCATCATCATCATCATCATCATCATCATCATCATCATCATCACCGTCACCACCATCGCCATCATCACCATCATCATCATCCTCATCATCATCATCATCATCATCATCATAATCATCATCATCATCATCATCAGCATCATCATCATCATCATCATCGTCATCGTCATCGTCATCGTCATCATCATCATCATCATCATCATCATCATCATCATAATCACCAACACGATCATCATCATCATCATCATCATCATCATCAGCAGCGGCAGCTGCAGCATCATCATCGTCATCAGCATCATCATCATCAGCAGCAGCAGCTGCATCATCATCATCATCAACAACAACATCATCATCATCAGCATCACCATCACCACCGCCATCATCATCAGCAGCATCATCATCAGCATCATCATAATCATTGTCAGCATCATCATCACCATCACCATCATCATCATCATCATCAGCAGCATTCATCAGCATCATCATCCTCATCCGCATCATCATCATCACCATCACCAGCATCATCATCACCACCACCACCTTTCATCATCATCGTCGTTGCCGTCGTCATTAGCATCATCATCCTCATCATCATCATCGTCGTCGTTACCATCATCATCATGATCATCAGCATCATCATCATCAGCAGCATCATCATCAGCATCAGCATCATCATCATCGTCATCCTCATCTTCATCATCATCCTCAGCATCATCCTCAGCATCATCCTCATCATCATCATCATCATCATCATCATCATCATCATCATCATAGCCGCAATGGCCAGTATCATCATCTCCGCAACTGCCGCGACAGCAGGGGGTGTAGAGCACCTGGATGAATGCCATGAGGCATGCCCAGTAGGGGTCCTGCGGGACGGGGCCGCCCCTCCAAGGCCCCACCGCGCCGCCAATAAAGCGCTGAAAAGCCTCGGTCCTCGCACGATCGATCCTCGAACGGTCGATTTTCGGTCGATCAATCTTCGATCGATCCTCGATAGATCGATCCTCGAACGATCGATAGTCGCCGTTGTCGCCGCGGCCGCCACAGTCGTTGCGCCTCCGCTGGCGTGCCGGGGAGCGGGGCGGCGCCGCGCCACGACGCGACTTCTCTGGCGGCGGTGTCCCCGAGCCTGGAACCCAGGCGGTGGCAGAGAGGGCCGGGGGGCCCTGGTTTTGTCGATTGCGGCTTCTAGCACATGTTGGAGCAAGTCTTCCATACAGTCCACCCGTATACTTAAGGACGCAGGAGAAGGATACAATGGCCTTGAAAAATCCATGTCGACATTTTGCGAGCGGGTAGCGGCCAAGGATGGGCCGAAGGGGGAGGATCCAAGGGTAACCTTGGAAAGTCGCTCATCCTTGCTATGCGGTTTAACTATATCTCTGGATGCACATGATCAGTAGTCAATCAAGCTCGGAAGAGTCCCGCAAGGGACGAAACGTAATCCCGATGCTGACAAAATGCGTGCATCGGACTGCGTTCGTCGGCGCTGATCTCTGACACACCGTAGATCGTTCAGCCTTGAACGGTCACGGCCTTCACATGGGGCAACTCGTTCGCTATCTGCCAATTCTGGGCCATTGGCGGCATTCAATCTTGAACGCCCGTAGTTGGGTCACCACCGCCGCGGCAACCCGGCGCGAACCTACCGTACCACCATGCACCAGGGCAGTCCACAAAACTGCCATGGATTAAAAAAAACGGTCTCGGGGAAACGGATCGATACCTGCAATTCAATGATCGTTCTGACCTTCACTGAGCCACTCGCTTCACTCGGGCGCCTATGCTGCGTCGAACATCCGTTAACGTGAGTCAAACTCGAGTCGAACTTGAGTCGACCTTGGGTCGAGCTGGGTCGAATTAGAGTCGAACTGGAGTCGAAGTAGAGTCGAACAGACCGTTGGTTGGACCCAGGAATGTATCCAAAACGAGCATCTAAGAAAGAGGCAGGGACGGTCAGCGTCGAATCGAGAAACCGAATCGGATCGGATCAGGCATCAAATCGAGGCGCATCGCAACGGAATCGAGAAATCGAATCGGATCGGATGCGCCCAAATGCACAACAGCGCCATGCAAGCATCGGGCCGCATCGGATCGTTGGAAGATTGAAATGGAACCGGATCGAGCCAGACGGAAGAGATATCGAATCGGACCGACCGGACCGAATTCGAACCTGGCTATGGCGACGAAATCTATACACATCCACAGCCCTCTGGCCAGGTCGAACATGAACCCAGCAGCGGTGTACAAGCCACGCCCTCCTGGCTTGGAGAGGAAGGCGTGTGCACAGCTTCTGGACCCAGGTGCACGTGTCTTTCCCCCCCGTGTATCGCCCCCCCCCCCTCAGTAAGCAACGCCCTAGAGGGCGGGGAGGGCCAGGATAGGATAGGACCAACGACGATGTCAATTCGAAGTCAAACTCCACGAGCTTGCGAGCGGATGCCCCTGGCCCAAGCCACGGGAGAAGCAGGAGCGCCTCCAGCGCCCAAAGCAAGGCCCAGACTGCAGAGGAGCATCGCATGGATATGCATAGTTTTGATCGCCCCACTGGAAGGGGATCGAGGCCTCCGCGGCTTAGGCCACGAAAATACCGCGACGTGTCGGGGGCCTCGGCTCTGCGGGCTGAGCTCACCCCCCACGCGCACCGCCCCTCTCCTCCCTCCGCCGCTGCCGCTGTCGCCCCCCTGGCCTCCGCCGTCGCGAATGGGTCTCGAGAGAAAAAAGGAACAAAACCAAAAAAACACCTGGAGCCCTCAACACCATCTGTTGGGCGCCACTTCCAAGACGAAGCCAGGACCAAGACAACACTGGTCTGGGACAATTCGGTGATCTCCGAGGTCGCCGGCTCTGGTGGATGTATCAGGCGCCGCGGCCGTTCCATAAAAATCTGGAACGCTCCGAGAGCGTTCGGGAACCGGACAGGGCTCGACGTATACACCACGTCGTTTGGTCGGCCAAGGAGCTCGGTGTATAGACACCTCAGCTGCCACACCCGTGGGACGCTGGAGCTTATATACACCGAGTTCCTTCGCCGAACGCCTTGGCTCCCTGGCCGACACGACGGCGTGGTGTGCACACCAAGACCGCAGGCTGTCCGAAGAACACTCTAGTCCCGCCCGAACCTCTCGAGCCGGATCGATCCAAGAAGGGACAAGGACGAGGAAGAGAAACTGTCGGAAGAGAGGGAGGAGAGGGAGGAGAGGGAGGGGAAGAGAGAGAGGGAGAGGGACAGGGAGAGGGAGAGGGAGGAAAGGGAGGAGAGGGAGGAGGAGGAGGAGGAGGAGGAGGAGGAGGAGGAGGAGGAGGAAGCGGAGGAGGAGGAGGAGGAGGAGGAGAAGAACGAGGAGGAAGAGGAGGAGGAGGATTTTTACAACGCGCCGTTGTCAGCCAAACTCCAGAATGCAAGAGAATGAGGGGGTGGCAATCAGAGGAGAAAATCGAGCACCCAGCTCTGCGCAATATTTGGGGGAGGAAGAACGGTTACAAAATCTCTGCAAAACCTAGAGAGCTGGTGCATAGTCAAAGCGTGCTCTCCCAGGGAAGCGACAGGGCAGGGCTACCGCAGGCTGTCTGGGCGAGCTAATGCCCATGAACCGCATTCACCGCAGAAAGAGCAGGCACAGGACATGGGAGGAATGGAACCCACGGTGACACGCCCGCTCGGGGCCCAGCCAAAGAAAACTTGCAGAGATTGTCATCCCGCGGCGGCAGGTGCCGTTTGGGCCTGACACAATTTTTACATTTCACCACCTCCGCCCCCGCCGCCGCCGAAAAACCTCCTCCTCCTCCTCCTCCTCCTCTTCCTCCTCCTCCTCCTCCTCCTCCTCCTCCTCCTCCTCCTCCTCCTCCTCCTCCTCCTCAATAAGCAGGGCAGCTGCTACAGCGGAGGCGAACACCGAACGACGGTTCAGCGTCGGAGATCGAACTGCCCATGTCTCGCGGATCCAAAACCCAGACTCGAATCCCCCAAACGTGAGAGGAGCCCCGAACATCAGCTTCGATCCACCTGCGCCTCCGAAGCGCGAAATCGATGGGCCGCTTCGCCAAACACCGAGCAGGCTCTGCACGCACAGCAGCACAATCAAGAATAATAGAAGCCTTGCGCTTGAGGATGAGACAAGTCGAGAGCACGAGCTCATTCTAAACCCTGGCAGCGTCGGGCAGGACCTGGCAATCGGACGCTCTTGCATCAGCAAGTTCCTCGGCAATAGCCTTCAAAACGTCGTGGTCTCAACCACCCGACTTGCCAAGGAGCTTTTGCGCATCGTCCAGCAGGCGGCTGAAAACGTGCGTGAGCCGAAAGCCTCCAGAACGCTTGGCCAGGAGACCCCAAAGCGCTCACCAGAAGTCGATTTTGCCCAGGCTCGCAGAGGCCGCACGGCCGGCAAAGAAACCCTTGGGGATATTGGCGCGGTCGATGACCACGCGCAGATCCCAGGTCGGATCGACACCGTGCACGCGCCCCACAACAGCTGCAAGTTCCGCGCGAGGTACCATGTAGTCGAGCACGCCAGTGGCACCACAGCCCCAATCAAAATCCCCCCAGGGCTGAGCCCCACAGCAGCGAAGGCCATGCGGCGGAGGACAGGGACATGAGCAAACTGGCCGCTCGCGCCACCAGTAGCGCACGAGCCTCTGGGCAGGACGCCCAAACACAATGGCCCTGGACACCGCCGCCCCCGGAGGCCCCTGGAGCCGGGGGGCGGAACCAGGAAGGGGAATGCGCCAACGGATTCAAAAACAAAGGCACTACCAGACCTTCTGGAGCGCGCCGCGGCGTAGGCGCTGGGCATCTACAACGCGGGGGGGGTCAGCCGCAGCACTGCACATGCGCGACCAAAGGCGGCGGCCAGATGATCCGGGATCTCCCGGGCACCTGCGACAGAGAGGGCCCGGCACAAGCAGCGCTGATCGGCGCCGCCCTTCCGCCGAATAACCGCCTGAGACCAGCAGCCGGATCGCGGGCGCCAAGTCCCGACGGCCGTCTTTCTCTAGCAAAGTCACCAGATCCCAAACACGGCGAACGCAGACGGGCCCGTGGACACCGCCCCAATTGATGCGTTCCGCGGCCCGGCACCACTGGAGCGCATCAATGGATCCACCGGAAGCTTCTAACCATGGGCCGAGCGGCCCCCGACCATTAGAAATAACGCGCCATGGGTCGACCGCGGTCGAGACGAAAACCGAGAGGGCACTACCATCCAACCGCCATGACAGAGGCCCGCGAAGCGGCCACGGGCCCTCGGACCCAGGACCACCCCCGGCGAAACTGGCCAGAGAAGCCGACCAGTGCCTGGCAAGCCGACGCTGCAGCCCAGGGTTGCCAGCAATACGAAGGAACCACGATTTGATGGCACGGCGAACAGAGACCCGGGGCGGGCCCTGGCCGAGCCCGCACGTTAGGCGGATGGTTGCAGTGGCACGCGCTCTTCTCTGCGGGGTCTCACTAGTGGATCGCACCATGCCGCGCAAACCTCCTTTTAAGTATGGACGGGGCGAAACCATGAATCTCTGGGTCCCACATCGCCTCAGCATACGCACTGGACGCACCGGGGCACAGCAGCGCGCTGGCAACCCTGCGCGCGCGACCAAATCTCACCCCGACGGAAAAAAGCCGCATCCCTTCCCCGGAGAAAACCGAATCTCCCTGGCGGCCACGGCCCCCCCGGCTCGCAGGGCGGCGTCGTGGCCCAGGTTCGACGACGCAGCGTCGATGTAACACGGCCTGAGTATTAGCCAGCCTCGTCTCGGACCTCTTTGATATTCAGTCGTCGCGGTTGCCCCGCGCCGCCCCAGGTCGCGACCATCAGATCCACATGAGGGCCGTTTGCTGGGCGCACAGCGTTTCCATCCAACGACCCCCCTG